AGGGTGTCAACGGCACCGGCAAGACTCATCACTTTGCGGTCAAGAACCGTGACGAGAGGATTGACTGGATGCGAGAGCTCATGCTTGCCAAGGCGCTGAAGCAGAAGGGCGATGGCTTTGAGATTAGCGTCAACGGCAACATGATTTGAGCCACGACATCATAAGAACTTACACCACCCCATTCCATCTTTTGTTGGGGGGTTTCCCCGAATATCCTTTGCTTTTTGAATTTGAAATGCCTGTTTTCCTGTTTCTGATGACTCTCCTTTGTGTCTAACGAAGAATGACTTATGACCTGTTCTCACCATCCCTTTTGTTCCTCTCTACCCTCCTCTCTCTTCTCAATCTCCTTGACGTTGTTCTTATATATATCCCCTTCTCCCGCTGAGTCTACGCGCAGCAAGACTGCCCTTTTTGCTCCAGCTGTTATTCTACTTCTCCGAACACCTCCTCTTTCCTTCATTTCTTGCATACGAACAAACCAACAAATCATGAAAGAAGATATACATGGCGAGCGAGACGCAAAAGAGAGTCTGATATACCGATTTGTTTGTTACTAGTTTACTTGGAGAGTTCGGATTGATGATACCTTTTTTTTTTTTTTTTTTTGTTGGTTTTATGTGTTAGAAAGATTGCGTCCTTCAAAGGATTACGAAGTTGGAAGAAAAGAAACACGATGCTGGTTTAGGGAACTTTTTCTTTTTCCTTTCTTCGGGGGCATGGTGATGTTGAGAGTGAGTTGAGGTAGTGGGTTTACAGAAAATTGATGCAATAACATGGAATCTGATTGAACAATTTTTGGTGTACAAAGTGATTGATTCGTCTTGTGATGCTGTGGGTGTTGAGGCTACTCTTTGATCGAGTTGTCTCTCTGCGCCATCTTATATGTCTCTTGTCAGCCTTGGGGAAGTTGTTGCCGGAACCTCCACATATAACCCATGGCTTAGATATCATCTTAGTACTTGACTAACTATAAGGTATATATTGCATGCGAGATGCAGTATCAAGGTGAAGCAGGGTACATGGCTCATTATTTCACCTCAATTACGAAAGCCCCGACTGCGTTCTAGGGTAGTAGGTAGTGCCCTCAATATGAGTAGTAACAAGTACACTTCAGAGAGACACCCAGCTCACAACTACCTATGTAGAGCATCTTTTTCCCATAATATTTTCAGATAGAGCATAATCAGTATATAGATATATGTATAGTACCTTTACACTTATCTTACATCTCTTCCAGCCGGAACCGTCTCAACACCAAGATTTTCCAAACACCCCCTTCCCTGATATATCGAGTAAAAGCTGGCGGACCATGTCCCTTTGTTCCTTTTCTTTTCCATGTCACACACATATATATACGTTTCCCCGTCCTCTCCCCATTTCTTTTATCTTGATTATTTCCATTTCTTTGTTCTTTTGATCCTTTCATCATACACTCACCCCTTTTTTCAAGGAGAATTCTCCGTCATAAACTCGGGCCGCGTCACGCCAGCCCTCTGATGCACCTTTTCCCAGTCAACCGCATTCCACCACGCATCGACATACGCAGCCTTGCCGCCCTTTCCATCGACGCCCATGCCCCAGTCCAGCAGCCAGGCGTGCTCCCACGTGTTCAGGCACAGCAGCGGCTCCAGCTCGATGCCGCCGGGGGGCAGCTCGCCCGTCCTCCTGCGGCCGGCGCCGAGGAGCTGGTTCCTGAGGTAGGGCCTGGCGGAGCCGTCGTTGCCGACGGTGTTCATGTCGGTGGACTGCATGCGCCAGTGGGCGCCCGGGTAGGGCGAGCCGGCGAGGTAGGTGGGCAGGATGCGGTAGTCGCCGGGGCCGGCCTTGACGAGCCAGACGAAGCCCGGGCCGAACATGGCGGAGGCGGTGACGATGAACTCGAGGCGCAGGGAGTCGATGGAGGAGAAGGAGGCCTCGAGCTCGCGGCGCAGGTCGTCGGGCATGGGGGTGCCCTCGGGGGCGATGCCCTGGAAGAAGAAGTGGTTGTTGTGCGCCATGGAGGCGTGGTTGAAGATGGGCGCCTGGTTGGGCTCGCGGGCGGTCATGAGGAGGATCGTCTTGACGTCGTGGGCTTCGAGCTCGGTGCCTGGGACAGAGCAAAAACTTCAGGTCAGCGAGGTTTCTATTTGGTAGAAAGTTGATTTGAAGGAAGACCTCACCAGCAATCATGGCGTTGAGCTTGTCCAGGGTGACCGTCATGTAGTCTGTCCACGCGAGGGCGAAGCCGCCGGGGCTCATGAGGTTGGGCACGCCCTGGGAGTAGTCGTGCGGCAGCAGCGGGACGGAGTGCAGGCTCCTCCTGGCGCTGAAGCCGCTGCTGCTCTTGTTGTTGTGGTTGACGACGGTGTTGAAGCTGCCATTCAAGGCGCTGCCGTTGGCGGAGGCGCGCAGGTTCAGGCCCAATGCCTGCCGGGACGTCCGCAGCAGCCGCGTGCGGAACATGACGGGCTGAGGTGAGTTTGAGGCGATGACCTGGGCGAGAGGCTGGGGAGGATTGGCGCTGGTGTCGAGTGGTCGAGAGGAAGAGGGTCTTTCTTGGTCGTGATGCTTCAAAATCGGCCCTCTCGAACTTTTTCCCGCCCACTGCAGTTGGAACGATTGGATTGATACCCCCACCAATGAGATGGGAAAGGCACTTGTCCGTTCGTACCACCACCAGCCACGCGCACCAGCCACATCTGCCATGCTCACAAAGACTGCAGTGGATTACATAACAAAGGTCAGATCTGTGATTTCTCGCCTCCTGGTTGGCTCATCTCGGCTCCTCCCATGCAAATGTACTCCCTACCCCGTCTTGCACGTTGCTCAATACGAGGCGCCCGGTCCCCGATACTCTCGGCAGCCCGACGCTTGAAAATAAAGGTGGAATCAACCATGGACGGCCAGTGATGTAACCGCTGCCACAAGCAGGCGTTTCAACCTGGTCCCTTTTCTTGCTCAGCCCTGCATGAACTCTGCCTTTTGCCTCCTCCGTCTTACCTCTTTTTTTTTTTTTTCTTCTTTCTTTCTTCTCTGCTGTCCTGCATACATTCATCGTACTTGAGCGACAGCCCCAGAGCAGCACCCAAAACGCCTCTTCCCCTCCCCTGGGCGGCTCCCGTGACGATCGACTCTGTCCCGTGCCTCACCGAGTTCTGAGACTCTGCTCCGCCACTCAGCGGCGGCGATTCGCCAGAGCCTTGTCCTACCCTTCCCCCCTCCGAAACCGCGAATCACCTCAGCTCTCCTCCTCTTCTCCTCCCCTTGTCCTGCTTCTTCTCCTTCCGATACTACATACCTTTCCCACGGCATGCAAGTCGCTCGTGATGCGGCGATAGGAGTCGACATTCCTACTCCCGTTACGCTCCTCACCACAATGGCCACCCTCACATCCACAGCAACAACCGCCCTCGCCTCCGCCACGGCCAGCGCCACCGCGGCGCCCTCAGGGCCCTTCCACATCGACGCATCGCAGGGCGAGTGCCAGCTCCTGGGGCCCTTTGCGCTCGTGGTCCAGGCGGCGCTCGGCGGCCTGGCCATGCTGTCGCTGGTCTACAAGCGGTGGAGGGAGCACCCGCGGCGGCCCGTCAAGGTCTGGTTCTTTGACGTCTCGAAGCAGGTCTTTGGGTCCGTCCTGGTGCACATCTCCAACATCTTCATGTCCATGTTGACCAGCGGCCGCTTCTCCATCAAGGTTGAGCCCAGCGTCGTCGAGCGGCTGGTGGCCAGAGGCGACGACTACGTGCCCAATCCGTGCTCCTTCTATCTCTTGAACCTGGCCATAGATGTAAGTTCCCACACTCACATCACTGAAAGTACAGCAACGGGCATGTATGCTAACGACTGACGTCAAAGACAACCGTCGGCATCCCCATCCTTATCCTGCTCCTGCGAATCTTCAGCGCCCTGGCCTCCTTCACCCCGTTCGGCAAGCCCGCCGAGTCCATCAAGTCGGGCTACTACGGCAACCCCCCCAACGTCTGGTGGTGGCTCAAGCAGTCCGTCATTTACTTTGCCGGCCTCTTTGGCATGAAGCTCTGCGTCCTCGTCATCTTCATCATGATGCCCTGGATCGAGCAGGTGGGCGACTGGGCGCTTCGATGGACCGAAGGCAACGAGAAGCTGCAGGTCGCCTTCGTCATGATGATCTTCCCCCTCATCATGAACGCCCTGCAGTACTACATCATCGACTCCTTCATCAAGGGCAAAGAGATGGACCACGAGCTGCTCCCGTCGGAGGACCATGACGACGACGACGAAGACGACGACTACGAGAGAAGAGGGACGGGCTCTGGCTCAGAACAGGACGAGACGCCCGTCAAGTTCAACGGACGGCCGCGCAACGGCGACGAGGAGTACGATCCTGACGTGGACGGCGACGCTCCCACGATTCGCGGCAGCAGCTCCAGCCGACCCAGCTCCAAGCCAAGCGGAGTCTCAGTCGAGTTGTTCCCGAAAGAGTAGCACGTCTCTTCGTGTTTAGAGCTTTCACCCGCAACACACTGTTTGTACATAGACGCTGTCATCATCGCTTTGGGTTCCTTTCTTTTGCTGGCTCGTTTTTTGTTGGTTTCAAACGGGTTCGTTTTTCATATCCTCGGCGCTGGAGAACTGTTTTGGCGGGCGCACATCATTTTTGGGTCGAAATCCATTCTCTTGTTTTCTTCTTCTTCCCTCTCCTCCTCGGCGTTCTCCTTTCTGGCTCTGATTCTTTTCATCTTTTCCGTAAACTTTTATGGTATCCAATTTCAAGTTCGGTCCGAGAAAGCATACATACAAGCGGTACTGAAGAACAAATACACGAACTCAACTTTTTTTTTTCTTCGTCCCATCAATTAAACATCCTCTGCAAAGTGATCTCCAGCCAAAACCAATCAATCAAACTAACCCATTCATCGTCCCATGTTTGCCTACCCCGTTACCACCGTTTCTTCCCTCTTTCTCGTCCCAGTGTTTCTCATTCTCATGTTCTTGTACCGTATTTGGCACCCGACGTCCTCAACAAAACAGCTTACGCTGGGCGGATGGTTTAGTGGTATAATTTTCCCTTAGCATCGTCGGTCCCGAGATATGCCTCGGTTCCAACTGGCCTGGGAAAGGTCCGGGGTTCGATTCCCCGTTCGTCCAATACAAGCGATGACATCTTCCTTTCGAAGATTTCTTTCCTTTTTTCTTTTCTTTTCTTTTTATGCTTTGTCGTGTTTTACCTGAGATGTCCCTTTTATGGGAATGTGAATGTGAAGACGTGTGACTTGGTCCCTTTATGCTTCCCTGCAGTCAGTATAGGAGAGCATCACGGTCAAAGACTATATGGCAGGTTAAAATCAACAAGAGGCGAAGAAAAAGGCTCAGTTGGATGCGTCTATGTAAATAACTTCACATCTTCTTATCATCATAGAATTACGCAACTCCAGTCAATTCATGTCATACTCAGAAAACACCAAACCGTCAGGCTCACCCACATCTCCAAAAAGGTCAAGGCAAACATTGCCTGTCGACGAACGGAAAGAAGAAAACAACCCAAGCAGGTAGATCCAAGCAAAATCGTCATTATGTGAGCAAGATCCAAACTCCCAAACATAAGCCAAAGAGAATAAACACCACTGGACCTCTAAGTGGCGACTGATTCGCCTTTTGATAACGCCACGCAACCGAATGTCGTCAGGAACATGATACACCAACATACTTGCCATGCATGAGATACCGCGAGATCAAACATCAAGATTCAATCACTCAGCCGCTGCTCTCTAGACACCGCTCCAGTTCTGGGGTGAAGGGCTGTAAGGCTTGTAGCCGGGGTATCCCTCGTTGTCTTCACGCTCATGGGACTCGCTCGGGCGACGGTCGTAGTTTGGTCCCTCCTGGTGCTGAGGGCGAGCGTAACCCGAGCTGAAATCGAACCCTGAGTTGTTGACAATGGGAGACTGAGGAGGTTCCTGCTGCAGAGCTTTCGGAGGTGCCGGAGTGTACGTCCTGAACGGCACCGGCTTGTTCTGCGGGGCAATGGCAAAGTCATTAGGGGGGGCTGGCGAAGTCCTTTGGTTGAGGCCTGGGCCGGGGGACTTTCTCATGTGCGGATCCGTGCCGTAGGGATCAGGCGAGGTGTGTCCATCGAGCTCGTGCGGAGCAATGGGCATGTGCGCCGGGCCCGGAGTCATCTGCCTCGGGACGCCGAATCCGTTCTGGCTGGACGTGGGCGACTGGTGTCCGGGGCTCATGATGCCTACGGCGGGGGCTGCGTGGTCGTAGGGTTGGTGGGCACCATACCCGTCGGCCGCGTGGTTGTTGTAGCCTTGGTCATGTCCGCCGTAGTTTGTATCGTGTGCGCCATAGCCTTGCTGATGTCCGTTGAGCCCTTGATCATGTCCAGCATAGGCTTGATCGTGTCCGCCGTAAGCCTGGTCATGTCCTCCATAGGCTGGCTCATGCGCACCGTAAGCTCGATCGCCGTTGTAGCCCTGATCGTGTGCGTTATAGCCCTGGTCATGCGCACCATAAACCTGATCGTGAATGCCATAGCCTTGATCGTGGGCACCGTAACCTTGCGCTTGGGCGCCATAACCTTGACCCTGCGCAGCGTAGCCTTGATCTTGAGCGGCATAGCCCGCGTCGTGGGCAGCATAGCCCTGCTCATGTCCGCCATATGGGTTAGCGGGCTGCTGGCCGAAAGAGTTATTGTAGCCGGGAGAGTTGGTCTGTTGACGATTGTACGGGTCGTTTCGGCCCATAGGGCCCTGTTGCTGCTGCGGACGTCGCTGCTGCTGTGGTCCGCCGTACCTGGGGCTGTTCATGGCCTGGCTTTGCTGCGGAACAGGCTCTTTCTTAGGGGGCAAATCGTCCATTTCGACCTCCTCTTCGAGCACAATCTTTTTCTGGTTGGCGGACTCCCAGCTTGGCATAGCCGGGAGCGCATCGGCATCCTGCTTGGACACATCAAACTCGGCATACTGCGGGGGCCCGTGAGAAACGGCCGGAGCAAAGGCGGGCACCGGCGCAGGCGCCGGCACGTTGACTGCCATGGGTGCCTCCTGGCGGTATCCTCCGTAGCCGGATTGCTGAGGATTGTACGGTTCATCGAGATGCTTGCGAGACTTTCCACCGGGAGTGTCGCAACAGCCACAGCAGTTTCCGCAACATTTCAGGCAGTAACAGCAAGAACAGCAGCATGACATGCCAAGGCAGGTGCATCGGACGATGCAGACGATGATGCTGAGAAGGATGAGACCGCCGACGACCATCAGTGCAATAGCAGGCCATCTGTCGAAGCGTTAGTAATGTAAGTCACTGACGGGCCGCGATGCCGCGATGAGACCGCTACACTTACTTGCAGTAGACGTGAGCCATACAGCCATCCCAGCTGGAAAAGGCCTGCTTGATCTCCGAGACTTTGTTGTCGGCATCGGCCACGATATCTCGTCTTACGACTTCAGCGGCAAGGCTCCTTGCCACACTGTCCACCACACTCTCCCATAGCCCGCCGCGAAGGCTTCGGACCATGGCAACGTCGACCGAAGGCATCGTGTATATTTCGACTTGCGTCTTCGAGGTCTATGGTTGTTTCTCTGCGGGAAGTACGTGAGGACTCTGTAGCTCAGAGCGAACGTCGTTTTTTGTGAACAATTGGATGTCTAAGTCATGCTACAGTTGGCGAGTCTCGGAAGCGAAATTAGCAAGACAAGAACGCGGCGCAGTCGGTTGTCGGTCGTAATAGTTTTCGATATTGGATTCGATGTGTGTGCTCGATAGGATAATGCAAACGATATGCCGTGGTCTCGTAGGTCGTGAAAAGTAAAGAAGCAGCAATATGCTCAAAGAGTACAGAAAGATGGCCGCAATATCAACAGATAGACGGCTTGCAATTCCACAAAACACCACAGGCGTTGCAGAACCAAAGGATTGAGTGTTGGTCAAAATAGTACAAATCACCACGAGAAAAGAATGGTGTCGCTCGCCGTGTATCTCGTTACACACCAGCGAAAAGTATCAGCGTAAATTTACCCCTGGCAAAAAGAGACTGCCAGAGAGTTACGCAAAGAGAGCAAATGTCCTCTTCCGCCAAGAAACAAGGATCGTAGAGGCGGCTAAGGCCAAGAAAAGAGAGAGAGGATTGGTCGCAATGGCCGGCGCAGAATGGACGAAAACTCCAGGTTTCAAGAGAGAGAGCAATGGCTGTGCAGGAGAGTCGAGCCGAGGAGGAGCGCGCTTCCAAGAGGCCGCAGTCGAGTTAGCGCGCGCGCGCAGTCGTGTCCCTTCTGTCGCTGTTGGACCGTCGAGGTGTCGTTTTCGCTTTCAATCCCGTCTTCCCAGTGAACGTAAAAATGAGGGGGGCGGAAAGTCGAAAATCACAATGAGCTTCCTCTTTAAAAAATGAATGATTATGGCCGTCGACGCAGGGGACCGCCAAAGCAGAAAGCCAAAAGAAGGAATGAGGCCTGGGAGGAGGCAGAGATGGCTGGGGGAAGGAGGGAAGAGAACAGGAAGAAAGGATGAAGGATGGAAAAAAAGAAGGATACTATCCACCACGATGACTGTTCCCACCGAATAGGAACAGGGGACAGACAGACAGAACTATCAATCATTCATCAGAGAGAGAAAAGAGCGAAAATAATTAAGCTGGAGTGAGCCATCGTGCCGCATTGTCCGGCATGGGAAGGGGCGCCTGTCCCTCCAGCCGTTTATCACGCATATGCAATGCAGGGAAGGCGCAAGTCGGAAACGTGCCTTGCAGGGGACCAAGGAGCGTCGGACCTTGCTGGGGAGGGGACTGGTAGCCGGTACCTGTCAGGAGGGATGAGGATGCGCGGTCCTGCCCTGTACCGGATACAACCTGGAAATGTGGGCGCTGATGCCGCGGGCCCTTTGAATTGGAAAGAAGCGGCTCAATGGGAGGAGTTTAGGCAGTAGCGGGCCGGCTGCCAGCACTAAAAGTGTACCGAAGGTCAGGTACCCGAGCCTCTCCATCGCAATCTCGACCCGCGTTTGACAGACCACTGCAGAGGTGCTGATTGACGAGAACTTGAAGTCCCACCGTCATCACGGCAAATACTTAAGCATCGGCAGGAACTAAGAGATAGAACAGCAGTAGAAGGGAGATCGCAACGCTGTCTCTATCAGCACGATTCTCACAATTCCAGAATAGTGCAGGCCAATGTACATCTGAATACATGGTACGGAGCCAGACAGATCCCCTGCTTCCCAGGTTGTCAACTTGTCTCATCGCATTCTGGCCTCACGCCAAGACCGGGACCTTGGCGCCAGAGGATCCCAATTCGAAAAGATGGAGCCATCCAATCGTTCTTTTTTCCTGCGCGGGGGAATTTGACAAGTCCCAAGATCAAAGCCCTCTTTTTTATTCTTCCTCTTCTTGTTCTTCTTCTTTCCTTTTCCTCTGTTACCACCAACTCAGCAGTACGTAGACTGATACATGGCCCGTATGGTCTCCCCTAATACCTACCTTACCTTACCATGCTGCTGTTCCAACCTACCTGGGCTACCTTGGGTAAGTATTGTTTGCTTTTGAGCCCACCCATTCGTCCTCCGCAGGGCTCCCTTCCCTTCCTCGATCCTCAGTTCAGCTTCCCAGCCCAAACAACCGCCCTCCCAGCTCTCAGCCGTCATATACGCTCCTACGGGCCGTCGTTCCGGCCTACCTTGTCTATTTTCAGCCTGATAATCTTGACCTGTCATTATGAAAAGAAGAGAAGAATGATAAAAAATTGATCAAGCCACTTCTCCCTTGCAGCGGCCTAGATTTAGCTCTACCTAGTGTTGCTTGGACTGGCGGGTGAGGGTGAGTTACGCAGCAATCGCAGGTGCCTGGAGCATCAAGTCCGATAATCATTCGCTGCTGATAATTCCTGGGTTAATGAGCACGAAAACAGATTTCATACATGCAGTATTATCACAGAAGGTAGCCTCCGCGACAGCACCGATTCCACATGTAGATTCCATAGGCGTCTACCTGACGGAACTTGGCTGGCACGCAAACCCCGCCTCTGTGCAGCAAAGAGGCCTCCCGGTGTCAGTCTTGGCTGTTGGCGGTGCGGAGTGCAAAGTACAGCGTAGAGAGCATCACAATCTCGTCTGTTCGAGATCTCCAAGCAACCCAAGTCATTCATGATGAGTGTACGCGAGCAGTTGAATGCGTGTTGATAAAGCATGCATATTAAAAGGCGACTATCAGATGTGAAAAGAATATGCCACGTCGGACATACGAGAAAAAGAAGAAAAGAATAACATTCATCTTGAGGCGCAGCATTTTAGCCACTCTCAAACGATTAATCGTCAATTCCGCAGCAGTACCAAGAGAAAAGCAAACCTGGATATCAATCTTCCGCCAATCCTTAGGCCCAACCGAAACGCCGGACCAAGCCTTCCCGTGTATCCCTTTTTTCAGTCGTTTTCTTTCCTTTATATACGCCCAATGATCACATCTTGATCATCTGCACGTGGCTCCTCAGCAGTCGTTTACTTTCCCGGAGGAGGTCCCGGAGGAGGCTGATAATGAGCATCAGGCTGGTACGCGGACTGGGGCGGCTGAACACCGTACTGCGGCTGGCCGGTAATGTATCCGTCGTTGGCATTGAACGTCGTGCCCGTCGTCTGATTGCCCATGGGCGGCTGACCGTACGGCGGGGGGCTGGTGTATCCGTATCCTTGGTTGTAGGGAGACTGTTGCTGGTTGTAGTCCTGGTTGTATCCCGTCCCAGACTGGTAGTTGTTCATCTCGTGGCCGTTGTTGGGCTTGTTGGTGCCGGAGGGGCGTGTGCTGCCGCCGAGCCAACCAGTTCCGTACAAGGGCTGGACACCGCGTCTGCGATTTCGTCTTGTGATGCATCTGTTGTCGATGATGGTCAGTACATTAACGCTATTTGCGCGATGATGGTCGTAGCAGAAGTGATTAGGTCGGGGGTAGCTTACAGGCAACTGGCCAAGAGGATCAATGCCAGAACAATGGCGATGCCGGCGAGCACCCATCTGCCCCAAAAGTACCAGCCGCTCCTGCGCCGACATCCAAATCCATCGTAATAGTAGCCATATCCGCAAATGGAATCTCGAGCGAAGAGGTCCATTACTGGAGCCATGTTCGCTGAAATGGAGAGGAAAGACGCGAAGGAGAAGAGTGCGTCTCTGATGAGAGGTCGATGAATCAGCGACAATGAGAATCAGTAATCGTTGACTTAAAGTTCGGTCGCTCTGCTGAGGGTATCGTCTTTCGATGATTATCTGCGATGCACAGCGATGCGCGATAGCAGACAGAGTGTAAAGGGAGAAAAGGGAGATAAAGAGTAGGGAGAAAAAAACAAAGGTGAGGTGGTGCGAGTGTTGGGTTAGGCTTTTCGAGGGAGGATTGCAGGAGCTCTGAGAAATCCGTTGGTGGCCAATGTGTCCTGTTTATGCCCTTTTCCTTCTTGTTTGTCTCACTGGGCACCTGCGCCAGCTCTTTCCTCGCCCGCCCGTCTGTGACTCGTCTTGTATGACGTTGGAATCCCTGCGCTGAATCAAGGCCCCGCTTTCTTAGTCTCGAGAGGTCGCGCCACGGGCCACAATGGAAGTGGCTTCAGGTAAGCAGTTTAATGATATGGTTGAACAAGCAAGCAAGCCAGTCAGCGAGAAAAAGACACAAGAAAGGGGGGAAAATCAATCATTATATATTCTTTTCCAGTCCTTTGATGCTTTATCATATTTCTGGTTGATGCGCCTTGGCGACAACATTTCCAGCCTTTGTAGTGCTGCCAAGTCGCCAAGTGCTAAGGTACGTACGCAAAAGGGCAGCAGCAGTGCCACCGCACCAACCCGCCACAACACGGAGGCTTCACAAGTCACTGGATTACAGCACTGCCCGCCCGCCCACCGCATTGATGCAACTCCCTAGCGTGCTTATTCCTGAGGTTTCCTGTGTGTCGCAGCGTGACCTGTGCTGCGTTTTGGGGCCAGGGCCCATGTCCGTTGCTTTGCTATCAAGTGCTGGAATCATCCAGTAACCAGACTCTGGTGTTGTCGACGTAGACGGGACGTGGAAAGCACACCACTGGCAACACACAGCAACGCAACACGAGCTGGGCTTTCGAGAAGCACCACCTGCAAAAAAAGCATCCGACTCCCCAAGTTGCCCACAGTAACGGCACCCGGCATCAATTGCGCCATAAAATAACGGCGCAACTTGGATCAGTAGCTTCTCTCGGCATCGGCAAGCTCCAATAACCCAACCAAAGAACCGATCCCCTTCACAACGTCCTCCGTCGTCGTAGTCGTCTTGCTCATTCTCGTCTCTTCTCCCCTTCCATCTTTCCAATGTGGCGTGGCTGTGCAGTTGCCCCATACATTGATAGGTATCTGATCGCACCCAATCAGCGCTTAGCCGCAACAGCTTTCCCCGTCCTCTCCCCTCCCAGCACCGGATGTAGGTGCCTGTGGATCAGCCCCGAAAGTGGGCGCTGCTTTTTTGGCAACATCCCCCCGATATCCCATGGAGTCCAAAGTTGTCAAATTCAGGCAGGTTTTGCGCATGGAATCGCAGCCGCAGACGGGGAAAATCGGCGACAATTGCTACTCCGTTACAGAGAGAGCACTTTTGATGTTTCTAGAAGACCGCTTCTGGGGATGCTGACTTGTCTGAGCCTCGCGTGTCTTGACAAATCCTTGCAATGAATCTGCATCTACAGGTACCTCTGCCTTCTTACGTTGCTTCCGCCTTTGAAGCCACTTCGTATCAATCATGTACCTATCTCCAAGATTCCCAACATTGTTCAGTAGGTACCTACATGCAATGACTACAAGTAGTCTTCGGGCAAGATGTCAAAAAACCTTAATGTCTATACCTACGCAATCCCCATGCCTCGTCACAAAAACTCGGCCATTATATCTCCGTATGACGCATGACGAATCCTGGCGCAACGCCTTCCCGGCCCTGCCCGCATCCCAACCTGACCTTGCCTGAACTTGCGGCGCTGTTAATAAGCTGTAAGCTCTTCTGTTTCCATGTTCGCTAAAGGTACAAAGATCATATGGCGGTTGGTAGAGATTTGAGTTTCTTGCAAGCACGGGCTGTAACATCAATCGCATTCGAATGTTTTGAATCGTCATTGATGATGGGTTAGTATCCGAATCCGGTAGGCAATCCGCCAACACTAGAATCATAACCATCTCGTCACTCCGAATCTTCCAACGCTCAGCCTACATCATCTGACCGCATGCCCACCAGCAGCCACAAGGCACAAGGCACAAGGCACAAGGGACGGCTTACCTCGGAGGATACCCCTTCTCGTACATGACATTGTAGAGCATCCCCCACAAGGCGACGATACGCCTCTCGCCAAGCGTATTCCAGAAGGCCTCCCACATACGCCCTCTCTGTCGCATACGTGGTTCACTTGCCATCATATATATCCTGCATCGGCCTCGTTGTCTGCTCTAGATTCCGAGGGGTATAACCTTCTTTCATGCAACGAAACAATAGAAACCCCCCCATCCTCTCATTGCATCCGGCCCGACACCGAATCATCCGACGCCGCAGCAGCCGGATGATGCGGCGTCGACCTTGTCCAATTAACGACCGCGCGGGGTAATGGGAGGCTCTGCTGAGCTGCAGTAGTAGTAACAATACTCCTTTCAACCGGATAATGGCGACATCCACCATGTCGTCGGGAGAGTTTGAACGCTGGGAATAGCAATGCTCGTTGTATTAGTTGTCTTATATCGTACAAGAGCACCAGATGCGCTCGGCCAAAAGGTCGGGTGGAGAAGCCACAAATTAGAGAGTTCCGTCATTCTCTGAACGAAAAAGGAAATCAATGCAATAGGGAATAACAAAACGATACCAATGGTCGGCCTACGGCGCGAACAAGGCAAACAAGACGCCTTTTCCTCCCAAGACTCCATGCTCGAATCCGCTCGCAAAGGAGAGTCGTTACAAGTAAACCGTCCTTTTGCCGTATACTCTGAACCCAAGAATATCATCCAAAAATGCCAAAAGGGACCAAAAAGGAGGGTATAAAAATGTAATCCGTCAAGCCAAACTCCGATGTTCCCCCGGCTGGTTTGGCTCCTTCATCCACCGTGAGCATACCATATGATTTTAGGGTCGTAGGTCGTTTCGAATTACAAATGCAGTATCGTTCGTCATGCTTTTGGCGCTATGATTCCCCGTGGGAAGGTTCGAAAAGGAAAACGCCAAAAGCATGGTACATTATGCCTTGGGGAAGGAATATCGGTTTCGTCGCATCTCTTCAGCCTTTTTCATGTTGAGTTCGGCAAACTGCTGCGCCTGCTGCCTTGCAGCCAAGGCGTTGATCTTCTCGCGCGCTCTGATGAGGCTGCTGTTGTCCTGCTGCTTGAGCTTGGCGCGAATGTTATATAGAGCCATGAGCGTGTTGGCTCGTTCGAGGTCTTCATCGTACTGAACAAAGCAGACATGGTCAGTCATGTTCACATATGGACAAAAGCCATCTGTTTCCTTCCCTCCCAGCTCGTAGGGAAGGCGGCCGCATTCTTACATTTGATGGTTGAGGAGTGCCAGGCGTGGAATTGGCCGCTGATCCCGATTTGGGGGAGCTGATGAGGATGCGCCGGCCCATCTTGTCGAACCTGGGCTGCATGGCGGCTTCGGAGGACCATGCGCGCCTTAGGCCGGACGAGGGCCTCTGCTGCTGTTGGGAGGAGGCTTGAAAGTCGGATCTGACGAATTCGGGCTGGATGATGGGGACGTCGGCGTTGACAATGGCGGCGGCAGCCTCGGGTTCCTAAGCAACAATGGTTAGAACAGAGGTACTTGCCAGTGACATTCGGGAGGGCGTCTGTGGTGAGACATACAGCTGCGCCGAGATTGCTCAGGTCGGCGAGGACCTGGGATAGCTGCAGGCTCTCCATTTCAATGGAAGCAGCTCGTTCTCTTTCTTGTATCTTTTGTCGAAAAGGATAACTCTGTCTCGAGGAGAAGGATCTAGTATCGCGCGCTGGAGTTGGCGGGTTTGGATATTGGAGATCCTCCTAGCGGGCGCATATACGAGCAAAAAGATCGCGTGCGCGGCGAGGAAGAAGCTGGAGCTGGCTGGATATGGGGGAAATGGAGTCGGTGCAGAGGGGTGGGAAAAGCTGCGTCTGGCAGTTATCGATGAGGAGAGCAAAGTCGTCGAAGCGGCGAGAGAGCAAAAAGCGGACGAGGAGGGATGAAGGAGAAGAGTAAAAGGAGGAGAAAGAGTAGGAGGAGGAGGAGGAGGAGGAGGAAGAAATGGCAAAGGCTGGATAAGAAGAAAAGTGGCCGAAAAGTTTAAAGACAGGGCCGGCAAAGACTCGTCAAGACAAGCAGGTGCTGAAAACAGGAAGCCTGGAGCGGGGATCCGGCAGCTCGCCACCGAATCCAGCCAAACTCTGCAGTCGACACTGGCGGCGGCACTGTGGAGGCTCTCTGCTGCGGGGGTACTTTGAGGGGCCCCCAGAGCCCTTGGATGTCTTCCGCAGGCATTTTACAGCAGGGCCAGCGCCTGTTGCAGCGCTAGAGCCCGCTAACCCCTGCTCCGTGCGTCGACGGTCCACAAATCCCGCGTGGGTGTCACCCGCAATTGATGGATGGGATCCTCGTCGCATCAGACTGCGTCTTGATTACGATACATCGGCGATGAAGCAGATCCTCCATGCCGATAACTTGATCTCGACCCTCTCGTCAGAGTCTCTGCGTCACCCGACTACGCGCCGTTCCCCTTGCACAAGCACAATCCGCGCAGCTGCTTGCCTACCGCTGTCCTCACTGGTCGTGGCATCACAGCACAGCAGCTCGAGCCGACGCGTAACAAGGGCGGACGCATGGGATGCAATGGGTTCATGACGCAGGGAGCTTAGGCCCAGTTGTCGACGGTTGGTCTACCTCGTCACCAGTCCAGTTGGGTACGAGAGCGGCAAGGATACGAGCTGTTACAGCCTCTACGATAGTTGCTGTGCTGCCCGTCATCATCGATTTGGTCAAGCAACTCCGACCAAGAGGCCGGGGAAGCGCTTCAGGGGAGCCTTGCTAATCACTGCGCAGCCATTCGCTCAGCACGATAATACGGGCAAGTAATAATAACCTGAACAGATCGCGCAAAAGACGTCGATGCAAACCTCAGCTGACACTGCTGAATGCACGCTGACAAGTCCCCAACTTGTTTTCGATTCTTCTTCTTTTTTTCTTTCCATCTCATCCGGCCTCCCAGATTCGGTCGCATTTCCCCCATCTATCCGGCGCTACAACTGACGTCCGAACGCGGAGAGTTGGTGATGTCCCTCTCCAATACTCTTGCCATAGAAGTGGTACTTCCACACGCCCTGTTTATTTATCCGGCTGCTCTCGACAAGGCCAAGAGATTGAACATGAATACATTCTTGCTTCGACATGCAGCGATTGAAGAAGCGCTTCCCCTCACGCACCCAAGATGGATGCTGCATTGTACTCTTGTACCCTATGCACCGCGTGCTGCACTCGCTGGATCCCTGTATATCAAACCGGTTACTATGTGTCTAGGACTTATTCACTTCCATGTTGCTTCCATCGCATCTTCTCCCAATCTCCATGTCACCCGGTCCTTGCTGTGCTGACATCAGCGTAAGAAAGCCCCGGCTCTAGTCCCAGCGCACTCGGGAGCCTTGGATCGCATGTGTGGCGAGAGACGAGAGCACTGTAATGCTGTTTTTTCCCTTCAACACGAAGATTCTCCAGTTAAATTGACGTTTCGTAGTCCAGTTGTTTAGGAGGTGGCTGATAGTATACTGGTCTCATTAGGCCTGTAACTGAATACCCAGAGGAAGAGTGAAACAGCGCCTCGATTTCAACTGACAACTGACACCCATCTCATACGGGACCAGATTGTTCAACGACAATAATCAAATATACTTGTACTCCGTCACCTATATCCCATTCCCACCGTCAATCTCCATCATTCACAGCAGATTCCGCCTCCTGATTCCCCCCTTTACTCTACACAGACCGAATGAAGCATGTCAACTTATCTACAAAGATCCCCCCCC